AAAATCAATAATTTTGACCCATACAATGTATTGTTGGCTATTGCTACAAATATACACGTGCTACTCAAGGCTGGTTTTGTGGTCCAGGGTCACATATGGTTTTTATTACTAATCTGCTCCCAATCATTCGATTTTAAATGCATTTGCTCCATTTTAACTTAAATATTGCATTAAATGAAAAATAATATAAAATTAGTTTTCTCTAATATTTTTGTTATTTTTTTATAGAAATGAACAGTGCTTAATTTAGAAAATCATGAAATAAACAAATAGAAAATATTCAATTAAAGGCAGGGTATGTGATTTTTCAAAAACACTTTAGAAAACTGATTCGGGCTGAATAGCAAAACAAACTTGTAGCCAATCAGCAATAAGGGGCGTGTCTACTCGTGATGTGGAGGAGAGAGCTTTCAGTGCATGGGACGGACATTAGCCGAGCCGAGCGACAGAAAGATAGAGATGGCGGATAAAAAACAAAAGAGGAAAACGTCTGTGGAACGATAAGGCAAGAAGTAGGACCCATGTAAACATCGGATCAGGTTTCCAGCGCTGGAGAGAACTCAAGGAGTGGAGGCCTGCGATCGGACGCCGAGGTTGCTATGTTTCTTCTCAGTAGGTGAGTAACACCGTGTCTACAACAGCTAAAGTCTGCCTACACTGGACGCGATCAAATGACCGTTGAAAACCATTTGAAATTTGTGTCAGCACGTCATAAATAGAACCCGGCAGCAGTTTTCTGTCGGGGATTTGTTGCGCCGCGCCGCTCACGTCCGTAGACACGGTGTAACATTGGTTTTGCTTTGTTTCACAGAACTAATCGTTGCCTGGGTTGCGTACGTATATGTGGGGCGGAGCTATCAAAATAGGGGCAAGACCCTTTTGGGGTAGGGTTTGTTTTGGTGATTTCAAATATCAACATTGGCTACCAGAAATCGCTTACTCTGCCTTTATTCATATTATTGAACTAACATATAATGCATTAAATTCAAAAAAATTTGGTCTTTGGGTAGTTTAAACTGTCAGAATCACAAATGTGACCCAAATTTAAAAATACCATGAAAGAATTTGATTCATAATCACTGTATATTTTTCTGCAGTCATGTCGTACACGTGCATCAGCTGCCGTGTGCAGTTCTCTGATGGGGAGGTCCAGCGGGCACATTATAAAACAGACTGGCACCGCTATAATCTGAAGAGAAAGGTTGCAGACATGCCTCCGGTTACCTCAGAAAACTTCCAGGAGCGAGTGCTGGCACAGCGGGCAGCGGCCGAGCAGCAGAGTCAGAGCGGCGGACACGGCTCGGCCTACTGTACCACCTGCAACAAAAAATTCTCCACTGACAATGCTTACAACAATCACATCCAATCCAATAAACACCAGCACGCTGAGAGGAAAGCCTTGGTCGCCGCCCAGGAGACTGTCCAGCGAATGAATGAGAAGAATCTGGAGAAAGGGGCGGAGCTAGATAAAGACGCACAAAACGAAGCGCTTCAGAAAGCACTCAGGGAGCATCAGAGACACACCCCCTCTAAAGCCACACCCACAGAGAAACGGGTCAGAACGCGGCCGGACAAACCGCCTCGGCTGCAGTGGTTCGAGCAGCAGGCCAAGAAGATCGCAGCGGAGGAGGGTGAAGAAGAGGAGGAGGGTAAGATTCATTTACAATAAAATACTATTTTAATATCAGTTTTTGAATTTTAAAAAAAGTGAAAAGTGACGTGACATGTGGCCAAGTATGGCGCCCAATACTTGGAATTAGTGCTCTGCATTTAACCCATCCAAAGTGCGCACACACACAGCAGTGAACACACACACACCGTGAACACACACCCGGAGCAGTGCTCACAGTTAAATTAAATTACGGAGCAGTTAAATTACTGTTTTGGCATGATTGTGTTTACATTCAATATTGCCAAAGCATTATGACAGGAAAAGGAAAATATACAATAAAAGTAACAAATAACTGTAAAAAAAATTATTAAAAGTGTTAGGAAATTAATAAAATTAAGATAAAAAAAATTATTAAAAGTGCAATATAAATCATAACTAAACATCTTTTTCTGAAGATAAGTAGAGTAAAATACACAGAATAAAATACAATAAAATCACTGTTGCCTTGCAGCTGTCGCTTTTGGCTTGCTCAGTTTAAAAGACAATTAATATTTAGTAATATTATTTATTATTTAAATGTGCTGACACTTTTAATTGAGAACAAAATTTGAACTGAATTGAGCTGGAAAAAGTCTTTTGTAGTGTTAAATGAACTTACCATAATTGACAGTTATTGAACTGAATTGAATCAGCATTGAACTGAATTGAACTAGTATCTTCTGTTGAGCTGCTTTACAGCTGAAAGTCAATTAGTTTCATAATTGAAGAATTTTACAACATGTACAATGTAGTTGTCATGTTTAATAATATGAAGTTGCTTTGAAACAGTCTGTGTTATAGAAAATTCCATATAAATAATACTGAATTGACCGGATTTGCTTTGAAACCGCTAATTAAGAATCTTGTTTTTTCTTTGAAGAATGGGAGGATGTTGATGAGGATGAGGATATGGATGGTGATGATGATGAAGAAGAGGAGGAGGAGATGGAGGAGGACTCCACATCTGGGGTAGCTCCGGCCCCCGGGGCCATCCCAGTGACAGACTGTCTGTTCTGCGGACATCATTCATGCTCACTCGCCCGAAACATGACGCACATGACCAAAACACACAGCTTCTTCCTCCCTGATATTGAGTATCTGGTGGACCTGAGAGGATTTATTTCATACCTAGGTAAGCCAGCGAGAGAACTGAAGTTGTCTTTCAAAATATTAGTTATGAATTTGCAGTAATCAGTGTATTTCTCTGTAGGAGAGAAGGTTGGTGTTGGTAAGGTGTGCTTATGGTGTAATGAAAAAGGGAAGTCATTCTACACTACAGAAGCAGTTCAGGCACACATGACCGACAAGAGTCACTGCAAACTATTCACAGACAGAGAAGCCGCTCTCGAGTTCGCAGACTTTTATGACTTCAGGTACATTTGTTGAAATATTTCGACCAGGCGTTTTGTTGGATTGTCATTTTATATCACATGATTTGTAATTAAATAAAAAATGACTGTGAGCAATGCTTGTGCATCTTGCTTAATATTAATTAAGTTGCATTAACCCTAGGTACTAATTTTAACAAACTTCTATGACTTAAATAAAAAAGTACTAATAAATTAATTAACATTAACCTACATTATTAAATGAATCAGTAATGCAACAAATTCAGATTTTTTTTGCTTTTCGATTTAAAATAGATTTCTTGTGTGATATTTGTAGTTGTAACATGTAGATAGAAAAAGTGTTCACCATCACTGAGGTTCAGGGCTTAAACATCATCATCAGCAGTAATATTTAAAATAAAATGTATTTTAAATGTGAGCAATAATCATTGTCCCTCTAACCATACAGGAGCAGTTATCCTGATGCTAAAGATGGAGATGATGTGGAGACGAAGGATGGTGAACTGCCTGATAAAAAGACTGTAGAGTTTGATGATGAGACGCTGGAGCTCACTTTGCCCTCAGGTACTGATGAACAGCTGTGTTTACAACACGTTTCTGTATAACCGTTATGTTATGACATTTAATTATGACATTGCCTTGATGTTTAGATGAAATATTAAGCATGCCAGGAAATATTTCCTTTTGAAGAATAATTACACCTAACTGATTCCATCAGGCTTTTACTCTTGAAAGTAAATTTCTCCTGACTTGAGCATTTTATTCAAAATCAAAATGCATATAAATCCAAACTTTGTTTTTGCTGTTTGTTACAGGTGCAAAGATTGGCCATCGCTCCCTAATGAGGTACTATAAGCAGAGGTTTGGTGTTCAGAGGGCATTGGTTCCAGCTCATAACCAGAAGGCTGTTGGTCGAGTCCTTAAACAGTACAAAGCACTTGGATGGGCAGGAGACTTTGGTAAGTTAGGTTTGCAAAGTCAGGACTGTCAAGAGTTATCTTTGTCTGGTGATGGTTAACTTTATTTCTGCACCATTGACTGTTTAAACCATGTCTTCTCTTGCAGGTAAAGGCTTTGTGAGCCAGCAGCAGAAGGACATGCAGTATGTGCGGAGGATGAAGTCCAAGTGGATGCTGAAAATGGGCATGAGCAATAACACCACCAAACAGACCCATTTCAGAGCACAAGTCATGTTCTAAACTAATTAACCTTCAGCATCAGTTATTAACAGTAGTCTGGAATGATAGTCTGTGTGTTGATTCAGCTGAGATGTGAACTGCTGTTAATGTCATGAATAAAGGTGGAACTTCATACATTAATGTATAAGGCAACATTGTGCTTTAGATATCTAAATTATGTGCTTTTCCAGCATCAACATGAGATTGCTACATTAGGGTTGGAAAATTGTTCATAATGACCTTTATTAGCCTTTGCAATTTTAATACTCATTGTAAAAGGCAAAACATATTATAAAAACCTACTTCAGATTTATAATACTGTATAAATTATCAATAAAATAAGCAATGCCTGATTTGATGTTTGGTGTTTTTTTTTTCTTCAGAAAATAAAGATTAAAATATGTGACCGTCTGTGAAATCCAGGCTAAAGTCTCAAAATCTATGAGATAACAAGCATCGAAGTTTGATTTCAACCATTAATTTCACTATGATTTCATTCTTTGACATGGTCTTTGTCAGTAATAAAGATATCAATGTTACATTTTCAAAGAATGTTCTTTACCTTATGAAGGATGATTGTATATAGAAAACCGTAAATCACCAAAAAATGACTTTAGCTGGGTTTTCACAGCCAGGGCCACATGTTGCCAGTTAAAACGTACACGATGCCATTGTTTTATAATATGTGTGGTAGAAATAATAAAAAAGATACAATAATAATACAGGAACCAAACTCTTACCCTCTGGATAAATGAGCGCCATTATACTCCTCGTCAATAGATAGCGCTGTTTCACTTTGTAGTCCTGTTGCAAAAACATGAGGAAGTTAATCGTAACATTTGAACAGACCTGTGTTGTAGGAAAAATGTCAGAAGATTAAGTGCCTTTGTGATATAATGTGAAACCAGCTGAAACTCCCTACACCTCTGATACAGTAGGTATCCTACCTGATATGTTTTGTAGCAAGATTTTGAATAAATGTAACGAATGTTAATGAACTACGGGTCAAAGCACTTACATGTTTATGTCAGGTGTATAAGCTGTTAACCCTTTAATGTAACAAATGCAGACAGAAACCACGGGGAATGTATTTGATTTGCTTTTTATTTCAATGGCATTTTGTAGTTACTTGGGTCAATAGTATTTGTCGTTATGAGCTGTTCACTGACAATCAATGTTACGTTAAATAAATATAACAATCTATATAATACAGTAATAATATATCACAATATAATATCATGTTTATATTCTGATATACATTATGTAATAGGTTTATATTCTGATACACAATTATTACTACTATGGAATATTCTGCAACATGCAAACGGATTACCATAATCAGATTCAAGATAATGTATTGTGTTCTAGAAATATGTTTACTGTGTTCTGTGGTGACTGTAATAGATTTGCTGGCTCACTGTATCAAGCATTTATTCCTATGCAATAAGACTGAAGTTAATGTACATCTAATTGTGTTAGTGGTAAACTTGAGTACAATTTTGCAATTTGAAATGTAAGTAATCTGTGTCATGTTCTCTCCACTATAGATATGGGGATCTTTCAGAGGTTTGCAAGACTTCCTCTGAAGTCCACATATATTTGGTCCCTGTGCCCACAGTACAGCACTGATCTCACTGCAGTAGACAGAGCTCTGATAGTGCGCTCCAGCCAGCTGATTCAGCATCGCTGTGTGCACAGCAGAGTGATGGGAGCCAGTCCAGGCAACCCGGGTGCTGCCCCACCACGGTTACCCTTCTCCAGGGTCACACGGGAAGACCTTGCCTTCTTTAGAACACTGCTGCCTGGAAGAACCATCACTGATCCAGACCTGCTGAAGTCCAGCAATGTAGACTGGCTTAAGACAGTGGAAGGTGAACTCAATTTGCATTTCCTAAATAATAGTTTTCAAGTTTTATGTATGTTTTATCTATAAGTAAGTGAGCATTTGTCACATTTTAGTTGAAAAGTTTTGGGTCAGGAATATTTTAAAACAGTAAATTTGTTAAATATTACAATTTAAAACAACTTATATATATATATATATATATATATATATGTGCCCATGCTACTATGTAGATAAAAATAAGAATATTATCTAAATATCTAACTAATATCTATATACATTGGGGTCCAGCCTTCTGAGACCATTTAATACATTGTGTGTATATATATATATATATATATATATATGTATATATATACAGTATATATATATAAATTAATTTCTGTAATGGCAAAGCTGAATTTTCATCATCTTTACTCCAGTCTTTTAGTTTCACAAGATCCTTCACTTTTAATATTTTTTATTATATTTAATAATTTTATTATGTTGATTTGGTGCTCAAGAAAAAAAACCTTATTATCAATGTTGAAAACAGTTGTGCTGCTTCATATTTTTGTGGAAAACATATTTTTTCGTGGTTCTTTGATGAATAGGAAGTTCAAAAGAACAATATTTGTTTAAAGTAGACGTCTTTTGTAAAATTATAAATGTCTTTACTGTCTCTTTTGATCAATTTAATGTGTCCTTGCTGAATGAAATCATTATTTATTTCAAACAACAACAAAAATAATTTAAATGGTAATGTGTTTATATGTGACATAATATGATGCAAACATAGAAGATGAAAACAATCTAAAGATTCAGCAGATTCTAAATACAATCTACAGATAGTGTTTAGACACATTAAGTGTAGTGTTTAGGAATTATACTATTTAAGATTAAAAAGTAGCAATATTTTAATTAGTGGGTGTGTTTTTCTTGAAGGTAATAGTGAAGTACTTCTGAGACCCAAAACAACAGAAGAGGTCTCTCAGATTCTTAGGTCAGTTTTCCATGATCACATTGACTTTTACAGCTGGTTACAAAAATTGTACTATTAAATTATCCATGTTTTTCACAGGCACTGTAATGAGCGGAATCTGGCAGTGTGTCCGCAGGGAGGAAACACAGGTCTGGTGGGAGGAAGCGTCCCTGTTTTTGATGAGATCATCCTTTCCACTTCTTTAATGAACCAAGTCATCACATTCGACAACATCTCAGGTGTGTTTGCTAAATCACCTTGTTATCTATTATAACTTGTCATGAAGCATCTATCATCAGTGACAAATCTAAATATAAAAACAAGTCAAAATCATTATACCTTAATACTTTTCTTGAAAGGATATTTGTTTGGCTTCCAGGTATCCTCACTTGTCAGGCAGGCTGTGTGTTGGAGAACCTGTCTAACTATCTAGAGGAAAGAGACTTCATCATGCCGCTGGATCTAGGGGCGAAGGGAAGCTGCCATATTGGAGGGAATGTGTCCACTAATGCAGGTGGTCTCAGACTGCTGCGCTACGGGTCGCTTCGAGGGACAGTTCTGGGCCTGGAAGTGGTGAGGTCCTCCTCTTTAACAGAAATGAACACCCCAGACATTCTGATAGATGATGTTCCATTAAAAAACACATAGAACTGACTCAACATAGACAATGAAGGTGTCAAATTAGTATTTATTTCTTGCTCACATGATTATTCCAGATGCAGTTTGATAATAATACATTCATGCTTTTGTGTTAGACTTGAATCATTAAGAGGAAGAAATCAGCCTCTTTTTATATGATGAAAAGGATCTAAATGGCTACTATTAAGTAGTATTCTTGTATGTGTAGGTTTTGGCAGATGGGCGGATTTTGAACTGCTTGGCCACACTTCGCAAGGACAACACTGGTTATGACCTCAAGCAGCTTTTCATTGGCTCAGAAGGGACATTAGGAGTCATTACTGCAGTTTCCATCCTGTGCCCCCGCAAGCCTAAAGCTGTCAATGTAGCTTTTTTAGGTAAAATGATGCTAATATAGTTATCGTTTCAGTTAATCCTCAGTTCTCCTTTTCATGCACATAGTGTGGCTAAAAAACTTATTGCAGCTCCTCATGTGTCCTGCAGGGTGCTCCAGCTTCCAGCAACTGCTGGAAACATTTCAGTGTTGTAGAGGGATGCTGGGAGAAATCCTGTCTGCTTTTGAGTTTTTCGATGCCTCCTGTATGAGCCTTCTGGAGAAGCATCTGAAACTCACCAACCCCATCACAGGTAAACATTAGTGTCTTTACTGTTTCAAAGACAACTTTGGGTATCTGTGTTCTTAAAGTCGAGATGGAAGTAGTAACAGATCTTTTCTTTTGTGACGTACATCTAAGTGAGGTGGACTATTGGAAAATACATAGAATTGGGGACTTGGTTCTGTTCTGCGGTTATTCATTAGATGGAAGCAGATTTGAATGTGAGCTTAAAGGTCAATTGTAAGAAACGGGTGGGGTTTAAGCAGACTGTATGATTGGAGACGTGCAGCATATATCACCAGAGAGAAGTTATCAATTGACCACAAGACTGAAGTCAAAAAAACATGCATGGCTGATTCATTCACAATAAGATCAATAAAACTAATTTAGAAAATATATGGTGTGAATTTTCATTTCATGCCAACTTTTGGTAGGTAGATGTTTTAAAAATGTTGGATAACCCTCATTTCTGTTTTTTTATTGGATTTATTGGAATGATATGTGTTGCAGAAAGTCCCTTTTACATTGTCATCGAGACCGCTGGATCCAACGCAACCCATGATGAAGAAAAACTACACAAATTCCTTGAGGAAGTCATGACATCATCTCTAGTAACTGATGGGACAGTTGCAACAGAGGCGACAAAAATCAAGGCACTCTGCTCACTTCTGTTGATCGGCAAAATTCAACATGATTTTGAATTTGGCATTTGTTCTGTCTAGTGCTGAAGATCTTGTGTCATTCACAGGCATTGTGGTCTTTGAGGGAGAGAGTCACAGAAGCTCTGACACATGAAGGCTACACCTACAAATATGACATTTCCCTCCCAGTGGAAAAGATCTACGATTTAGTCCAAGACATGAGGGGGCACCTTGGAGACATGGCCAAGAATGTTGTGGGCTATGGACATGTTGGTATGGCTACCTTTTTGTCTTACAATAATTGCTGGACTGTTTTGAGTCGGAAGCTGGAATACACCACAGAACTTTTGCCCCGATTTGCAGTCTGGAGTAGTTGAGGTTAGTTACTGAAAGTTATAGCCAGTCTGCAGATTTTGGGCAGTCAAGAGTTGACAGGTGTCTCAGAAAATCATGTAATGAATTAAATTGTGCACAGATTCAGATTTTTTCACTTCAGTCCATCCAGTCACTATTTACAAAGTGTGTGATGTCTAGTGACAACTTTCAAAATCATTCAAAAATTTTACCAACACTAAACGTCTGGACAGCACTGTACTTATGTGCACAAACCCTTAAACAGTGGGTTCAGACTCCCTCAAACCTTGCCCATAATTTTTTTGTTTCAGGTGATGGAAATCTTCATCTGAACATCACTTCGCCCTCTAAAGACCCCGCTCTACTGGCTGCCATTGAGCCGTATGTGTACGAGTGGACATCCGAATGGAAAGGCAGCATCAGCGCAGAGCATGGGCTCGGTCTGAAGAAGAGAAACTACATTTACTACAGTAAACCCTCAGAGGCTGTCGCCCTCATGGGCAGCATTAAAGCCATGCTGGATCCTAAGGGCATTCTCAACCCTTACAAAACACTGCCAGACAATATACACTAATAGTTTCTTGGTGTTCATGATTTATATGAAAAATAAGGCTGTTTTTATTTTGCTACAGTGTTTTTGTAATACTGTCATTGTATTGAATTGGACTGTAATAGATCAAACTCTTAAGTATTTAATTTGTTCAGTCTTGTGTAAAAGTCATGCTTTAAACTAAGCTATACTATGTATATTTTAACTGCATAAAACTGCAAGTAACTTGCGGAGGAACACTGTTTTGGTAATAGCGATCGCGTGAGTTGTGCTTAGGCTCCGCTACTCTGCGCGGATTAATCTGATGGCCCGTGGTAACAGATAATAAGTGCGAATGTCGCTAACAATATGCATATTTTATATGTAATCTCAATTACATCCAGGGCCGGCTGCAATATAACAAAGAGTGTAAAATTTAAGGGGGTCTGAATACTTTCCGTACCCACTGTATATTTAACATTTCTGCACTCACACAGACACAAAATGCAAGACTGAAAATTGAGTAAATAAAAGTAAACTATGAATATATTACCCTAGAAAGTGCTGCCCTACCACAATTTCTGATTGCCCCCCCAGTCCAGCGAGCCTAGTACCGGGCCTGATTACATCCTATGCATATCTATAGCTAACAACATCAAACTCTCCCAATAATGAAATTCAGGAAATATGCGAAATGAGGAGGTAAGTATTATGCCACTGTTGTTTTGACTTGTTGAAATCAGTTGTTTTAAAATAATGTTACAAAAGTTAGGCAACGCTGACATTAGCCATAACTATATTCATAAGATCAGGTGTAACGATTGAAACTATTACTTGGAAAGGCTATTTATAGGCAAATAGACCAAAGTATTAGCTGGTTTAGAGGTTGGTGTTGTTACCAACATAAACTGTTTAGTGAGTCTAGTCAGTGCACAGCTAATGTACTGCGATGCTGTGCAAACTATGTTGATTCGCGTTTTATTGCGGGTAATAACGCTTTCCCCTTTCCTTGCTAACTCTTTTCTCAGAGGTTACAAGCTACCTACACTACATTATAGTGATGGGTGCTTTCGAAACACTGCTTCATGAAGCTTCGAAACCTTTGCTAATCATTTGTGACCCTGGATCACAAAACCAGTCATAAGGGTCAATTTCTCGAAATTGAGATTTATACATCATCCGAAAGCTGAATAAATAAGCTTTCCTTTGATGTATGGTTTGTTAGGATAGGACAATATTTGGCCGAGATACAACTATTTGAAAATCTGGAATCTGAGGGTGCAAAAAAATCTAAATACTGAGAAAATCACCTTTAAAGTCGTCCAAATGAAGTCCTTAGCGATGCATATTACTAATCAAGAATTAGGTTTTGATATATTTATGGTAGGAAATTTACAAAGTATCTTCATGGAACATGATCTTTACTTAATATCCTAATGATTTTTGGCATAAAAGAAAAATCGATAATTTTGACCCATACAATGTTTTTTTGGCTATTGCTACAAATATACCCCAGCGACTTAAGACTGGTTTTGTGGTCCAGGGTCACATTTGTTTTGAACCAGTGATTCCGAAGGCTTATCAAACTGCCAAAGTCATGTGATTTTCAGTAAAAGAGGCTTTATTAGGTCATAACCGTTTCGAAATGTGGATCTCTCAATTCATGAACCAGTATCTGTATGGTTTTTACATGATCTTGGATCAGTTTTACAAATTTGTAGACATTGTGAGAGACACAATATAATTTAAATGAAGTAGTTAATAGTCTTTAACCAAGCCTGATTGGTCTCCTTAAAACAAACAGAACAAAGCCTACAACTAAATAAAATTACCCATATTATACAGACACTTAATACTTAATGGTATAACTTTATTTATGGATATGACAAACACACATGGACAAATGATGAAAATATACATAATTATTATAGGCTTACCACCATAGTGATTTAGGTTAAGGCAAATGTTTTATGCACTCATTTAAAATGTGTGAATTTTGAATAAAACCACACAAAATTGCAGCCTCTGTGAGCACTCATAAATTAACCAATGGTGTCTGGGAAATAACTACCTTTTGAAAGGCAAACAATAAGGTATTTGACTATTTTTGCAATTTTGTTTGATGGTGCATTGAAGCTATTGAGCCAATCAATAGCTTCAAATGAAGACCATCTAAAAATGTAGCTTGAGACAAGAATGAAATCAGCACTGAATTCTTCAAATAAAAGCCCAGCATGAGATTTTATTTTATTTTTCAGCATGTAAATACACCAGATTTTGCCTAGTGTTCCTCACTAACAAAAAGTTGTTCAATCCATTGAGACAATAAAATAATATTTTGGTTAACAACGGCTGAAGCCTTTTTAATGGCATAAAAACTAATCCCCCCCCCACAAATTAATTCATAAAAGATCTGTCCATCATGCTAAATGGAAAACAAATGTCATTCCTTTCTATAGGAAAACTACATCTGGAAGAAAGCAGTGGAACTACATCTAAGCTTATTTCAGAGCCAATTTTTAAAGACAGTTACTAAAGCGGTCTACAACTGATCTTGCGTCTGCATATCGGTTGGCATTCACGTTCTCATTAGCTTCAGCTGGTGTACTACCAGCTATAAAAGCACTGGTTATCAGAGAGAGGCTGCAGACCTCCTGTAAACATCACCACAGATAAGAAGGTAATTTCCCAGCAGACTTAGACAATGGGGAACCTTTTCCTAAGGCTTCATTTAGCTCATCTCCCTGTACAGGAAAACGCAAGACAGATTGATTATAATCCGCAACACGATTCTTGAAATTTATGGCTAAAATTAAAGCATTATCACAGCATGGGCAACCTTTTAAGCACAAGGACGTGACAGAAAAACCATTCCACTGTTGTGTAACGAATGAAAAGAGCATTTTTTTTTTTAACTCATAACTGTGTCTTGCATTTATATTCCAGTAACATCATACATATGGTTTCTTCATTATAACATATTCACAGTTCATAATGCAACAATTCCTGTAGTCTAATTCCTAACTTCGTTCCCCTGTAGAACACAAATATGTAAACGTTCGTCCATTTTTGGGAGAGCAAAAGTGACCAGTGTTGAGCGGCACGCAGCCACCTCATGTAGTGTCATGAAAGCATCATCAAATTCTTAATAAAACGCCACACAACTCAACCCAAACCAAAAGCAACGTACACAAACCATTTCGACTTGGGACATAGCAAAAGTGTTTTCCTTTGTAAACCTCATAAATCCTATATTAGAGTGACGTTGCACTTTTAAATAGTCAAAAACGTTTCAAATTTAAAAATCATCAGCATTCTCTCGGTTTATGGCGTATGTGATACAAAAGTGTCAAAAAGCGTAAGGTTAAACAAATATGCAAATTCACAAAACCAGAGTCTGTTTATGACTATGACTAGCTCTGTTAGTGTGTTGACACGTCACCTTGAACACTCATAAGTAGGGTTTTGTACATAACATTAGCAAATAATTCAGGCCCTACTGGACAGCGGCTGATTGCCAGTGAAGAAACATCAAGTACGCATGCCAGTGAGGGCAAAGAGAAAGACAAACAGCAACAAAAAAGCACTACGATGTGCTACAATGGCTTTTGTCAGGCAGGCATAGAGGCAACCGGTCAGAAAGGCCTTGTGTCAAAGGAAGCCCTCATGGGCTGCTAGGAGTTTGACCAGACTGGGATAAAGAGATAAAGTTCACACACAAAAAAATTAGTTCTGTCATCATTAATTCACCCTCATGTCATTCCATAACCCATTTGACCATGTTTCCTTCACTTTCAGGGAGCTTGACAATCCCTGGTCACTAAACGCACTCAATGTATGCAGGGTTTCTGCAGACTTTAACAAGATAAATTTAAGACTTTTTAAGACCACCTTATATGAAATTTAAGACCTAAACCTGTAATGGAAATACACATTTTATTACATACATATATGTAATATTTAATGTGTATAAATTAAAAAGAAAACAAAATATCAATGCTGTAATAAATGGTATTTATTACTACGATATACAGTGAACTTTTCTTGTCAGCAGACAATATTCCATACAAAATATCCCTGCAAAATAACTGCATCACTGAGATTTTTGGTGGAGTAAACAATTTATTCTGAAGCAATATTTTCATCAGTGTTCTATCAGCTTTTACATACTTAAATCTGCATATTTACCTTTACAAAGGAAAAAAACACCGGGTGGATTTTTATCATTATAGGGTGGTTGTGTACACACACTGCCAACACACATTTCAGTTTAAACAACTTGTAAAAGTGCATGTAGCATCCTATGACCCCTTTAAAACATATTTTTTATGTTCCAGTTATTAAGGTTTGGAATGACATGACTGATGACAGATTTTTCATTTTTGGGTGAACTACCTTTTTAACAACTGTATTCTGATCACTAAACCGGCCTAATTAAAGACACTAGTCTGTAGTTCTCTACTGTACATAGTGGCATTTTGTAACCAAGGAGCTTTATAACACAAGTCCACTATAGCAAATTCAGAAACGGTGACTTACTTTTTGCCTATTTATCTACAAGAATCTTTTAAAAGCTCAAAAACTTCTGATTTCTAAAAGCAAGTGACATTACAGCTATAAAGTTCTTCTGGTTGTATTAAGAATCATGCGCACACATACACACACACACTATGGGTATTGATTGCATTTCGGCATGTGTATCTGTCCTCTTCGTTTTTCCGAAAAGTACAAATCTTAAAAGTTCGCCAATGGTTAAATAGACAATGTGATGGCGCTAAAAAAATTCCATGATGGAGAGTTCAATTTAAGGCCTGTCAGACCGTGTCCGTATTTTTCTCCATTACGCTGTTTCTGGAGGGGAAATGGGAGTCCCACTGGGTTCAGTGGGGAAAATGATCCATAAAAGAGATCCGTAATTCTCTATAAAAAGTTTTTAGGTCAATGGACAGGAAAAACAAAGCGAATAAACAGCATGTTAGAGTTGGGACAGATGCCAGCGCTCGAATCCAACAGTCTGGTTACACACAGTGTCTGTATAATGAGCGGTCAGTAGTTCTGCGGCTTTCTCTCCTCAGCAGTCGGTTTTGCCCTTCTCCAGTGAGCTGTGGATTTTATCCAGAGTCTTTTTGATGCGCAGGGCAGTGAGTCGAGCCGAGGGGTTCTGGTACCAGCACTCTTTCATCAGCTTCACCAGAGCAGACAGGGTCTGTGACCACATAAAAACACAGACGTTTGTTTTCAGATCATGGTGAGGATCTGTCAACTACAATTGTTAACATTTATATATGGAAAATAAGAGTTCCTTTAGGAAATTTAGTTCCTTTTTTTAGTCTAAAGACCGTCTGCTATAGAGTGCTGCAGGGATAATGCATTTTTATTTGCCAATCTGGAAATCTGCATCACCCTGGTTCCCTCAACAAAAACCCAGTAGGATTTTTCCATTGGCTTTTGTATCAATATCACTGCAGAAAATAAACTCTGTGACCAACAAAAGTGTATTGTTTTGACACAAATTAATAGCTTTAATGGATTTTGAAGCCTAAATACAAATCGCCCGAAGTAAAAAGCTAAAGTTAGGCTATAAACAAACTACATCCCCCTCAAATTACTTCAACATCACCACCAGCCCTCGACAACTCTTTTAGTATTTACTTAAATTCTAACAGTTGTAACATTTTAGTTAGCATGGTTTGCAAGATTGCGATTATAAACACAATGAGGCTGTGAAAGCTGACTAGTTAGTAGACAAGTTTTTTTTATTTTATTTTTTTGGTTTGGTGACGTTTAATGTCCCTGATGACCTCTGTGGTTTAGCCACTTGTTATTAGCAACTTTTTCAAGATTGTGTAAAAGCTTAGCAAATTGGGTGGGGTAATACTGATGTACTTTATGTCGTAAGAATAAAACAAGAAAATATCTTCAGCTTGTGTTCATCATAAAACCTCATTTCAGGCATTTAACCAAAAACCCATTCAAAAAACCCATTCATTTTGGGACAACAGAACTGGAATTGCAAAAATGTTTTTTTGAACTCATTCATACAGCTCTCTATATGAGGGGACTATGAACTTAGCCACTCCAAGGTAAACACGTTTACAGGGATACAGAGAGTGTCTCATCAGTACTTACAGGATCTGAAAACCAGCGGTTGGGAATGAACGGCCTTTGTTGCTCCACACAAACCACTTTCCTCATGTCGTCAAAGCTGGGGTCATTAGGCACCAGGTCGTAGAAAGGCGGCTTGTATTCTTCTACAATTCCTATAGGATAACAGTATAGGAAAACAATGAGTCACTAAATGTTCATTTGGAGAACAGTCTGATCTATATTGTCCTTAAATGCTGCAAACAATTAAATATTTCTGAACAGAGTCCAGTAAGCTGACCGTTACTGATGGTTCTGCGAGCGATCTCCCACAGCACCAGCCCAAAGGCCCAGATGTCCACCCTCTTATAGGCATCAAAACAGTCTGTCTGAATGGTCTCATCTAGAACCTCTGGTGCCATGTAGCGCTTAGTTCCTACTTTAGGATTATTTCCCACATCCAGCTGATTGTCAGACTGTGTGTGTGTTACTGCCAGACCTACAAAGAGATACAAACAGATGAAGAGTAAAAGTGTAAAATCACCAGACTGTCTTTTTTTTAAATATATTTATTCAATAATTATTACGTGCACAGGTATGGAAGCCTGTTTCCACTGTACAAACGGATCGAAATAGATATTTACACGTTCTTGATATTTTTTCTTCACGCTATTAAATTCATAAAGACAGTTTGAAAATGTTCCCATGACTAGGTCGTTCCAGCAGCCGGGCGTTTCTGCTCGAGCCTTTATTTAAACCCTAAACTCATGGGAAAGCTATTTCTGAACTCACTCAGCAAACACTGCCAGCTGTTTATTAACAGGTGCAGAGGCACAATGAACTAATAATAGCTGTTTAAAGTAAACACACTGATCAGAATAGATCTCTGGTATGGAATCTATACATTAATATGAGTTTGGTTAAGTTATTCTGAACCATGACTATTAATGAATGCCACTGAAAACAGTTCCCTGGCTGTATTTCCACATCTGTTTTTAACAGCAAAACAAAATTTTATATCAGTTTATACCTCACAATTCCGACTCTGTTTCTTGCAATTTGGAGGAAAAATTGCAAAATATGAACTCAGAATTCCGACTTTTTTCTTGCAATTCTGAGTTTAGATCTCATTTTTGTTTTTTGTTTTTCCTAAAAAAAAAAAAAAAATGTAATTGCAACTTTTTATCTCACAATTCTGTCTTTTTTCTCACGATTGCGAGTTTCTGACAATCTCGCAGTTCTGACTTTTTTTCTCAGAATTGCATGATACAAACTCGCAATTATAAGTTATATAAAGTCGAACAATATATACGAACATAAACGAACAATTCTCAATTCTTTTTTTCTCAAAATTGCGAGTTCTGATTTTTTCTCTCACAATTCTGACTTAACTCGTAATTGCGTGATAAAAGTCAAAATTGTGAGATACAAACTTTGCAATTCTGAGGAAAAAAAGATCAAAATTGTGAGATATAAACTCGCAATTCTTTATTTCACAGAATTGCGACTATTTCGCAATTGCAAGAAAAAAACCCTGAATTGTGCGATTTAAACACGTAAACATCACCACAAAAAAAAGTCAGAATTGTGAGATGTAACCCTGCAATTACGAGAAAAACAGCCAGATTTGTGTGAAAGTCGCAATTACCCTTTTTTATTAAAATTTGTATTCAGTGAAAGAAACGGGCTTCCATACACAGGGCATAAATGATTAAAAAAAAAAATGTATAAAAAAAAAAAAAGCATGTCAGAAATTACCCAGGTCAGCAATGCAGCACTGCAGATCTTTCTTCACCAGGATGTTCTTGCTCTTCAGGTCTCTGTGAGCGATGGCCGGTTTGCCCTCAGTGCCAAAGATCTCCGTGTGCAAGTGCACCAGCCCGCTGGCTACTGACGCCGCCATGTGCAGTCCATCTGCCATCTCCACAGCAACACGCTGCAGGTAGTCGTAGAGTGAGCCATTCTCATGGTAGTGTGTGATGAGCCACAGCTGAGTGCTAGAGTTTCGGGAGGTCATATCAGAAGCCATGAATCCTGCAAAGAAAAAGAGTTTAAAATAACATTACACAACGCACCAAGCTAGTTTTTTGTTCCAGCATTTATTTTACTTAAAGAAAAGATGCTATTTGTTTGAGATAACAGATGTCCGCCTCACCTAATATATTTTCATGTCGTAGTAGAACAGTGTTGTATATTTCTGTCTCTCTAAACCATGACTTCTCATCTCTGGAAGAGAAGATCTTCACGGCTACATTCTCTCCTTGCCACTGACCTCTCCACACTTCCCCATACCGTCCCTTACCTGAGAACACAGAGCACATAAAAATCATAGAAATCATATCACATACATCATTATCCACACTAGACAGAGATTACATAATTGTGTCATATGTTGTGAAGCCACAAAACATATAGTAGTGTCACGGATTCAGTAGTCTTTTTATGCACCTGTGATTTGACTTACCGACACACTCTACCAGGCTGATCTGCCGTGCAACCGTCCTCTGCACCAGGAAGGGCAGTCCTGAACCACTTCCTGATGTGCAGGAGTGATCCATCAGATCCTAGAAAACAACACCAGACTGATGAGTCCTTATCTAACTGTTAAAAACTGAATACAGAATAACTTCAGCTAAACCACTGCAACATACACCACAGTTCAAATCGCTGAGTAAGATTTTTTGTTTTTGAAAGAAATTAATACTTTTATTCAGCAATGATGCATTAAATTGAGCAAAAGTGAAGACTTTTACACTCCCACAAAAAAATTATATTTCATTATCATGGTTTTCACAAAAAATATTAAGCAGTACAATAGTTTTCAACATTGATGATAATAAAAAATGTTTCTTGAGCACCAAATAAGCATATTAGAATGATTTCTGAAGGATCATGTGACACCGAAGACTGGAGAAATGGCTGTAGAAAATCAAGCTTTGCTATCAAAGGAAAAAATTACATTTTAAAATATATTAAAATAGAAAACACTTCTTGTAATTGTAATATTTCACAATATTACTGTTTTAAAGGAGCAGCCTTGATGAGCATAAGAGACATTTTCAAAAACATAAGATCTTTTTTTTTTTAATCAACACCAAATTTTTTAATGGTAGTGAAAGTTTATGAATCAGTGAACTTTCCCATTACAATTATTCACTTTGCCCAAATTGCCCAGAGCTGTAACATTTTCTATACAAGATCTGATATTTGCTAAATATTAACAGTTTTTGTAAACTATAGAAATGAAATACCGCGAGTGTGCTGTCTCCGACATTAGATGCAATGAGCCCGTCAATGGCCCCCTGCTCAGTGTCAAACTCATGCAGTCTTTCCAGATGCCCGTGATGGAGTCTACGGCACACCAGCAAAGCCAGCACAGACAGCAAACCCAGAACCACAAACGGCCCCAACACAAAGAGAACCAGTATCTCCACACGGTAATGCACAGCCGCCTTTCCTTCTGGACCTTTTCAGAGCAAACAAACACAGCGAAACATATTCACCAAGGCTCAAAGCTGGCCCAATGACATAATATAATGAAAAAAAAAAGAGATATATTTTTAATTGTTTTTGCTAGAATGTATTCGATATATAATAACTGGGCTCAAAGATTGCCCAATGACTTTTGGATGTCAATTTTTGGAACACAAAACAGTTTAATGATATATTTTTTTATATAATAAAGAAATTAAGTACATTTAAACATGTTGCTGAAATGTATTTCATTGTTTAAAGTCTTGAATTTATAAAGAATTAATTGACTTACTTGTCAGCAGTAGTCGAAGAAGGGTCTCTTTGGAGACATTGGCGTTGCACATGTGTTGAGAGCAGCATTCTACGACATGACTAGCCGAGGGTGTTGCGGAGCAGGTCATGCGCTTGCTCTCCGGCCCGATAAGGCAGCCACGTTTGAACGTTGTCACATCGTTGCTAATGATAACGGAGGTGTAACACTGGTCTCCGGTGCACTGCTGCTCATTACAGTCACTACCGACACACATGCAGTCAATGGAGACATCTGGAGAGAGACAGAAAACAGAAAGTCAGGGAGTTAAATCATAAATGAAGGAAAAAGGGACCCAGTCTGTAGCCATTTGTCAGTTGTCACCAGCTGCAAAAACTCGGGGAACAATTAAATTAATTAAGAAGAGCAGCATGACGCCAGACCTCACAGACGAGACTCTCTCTGCCTGATAACGGAGACTGTTTTCTTCCCTTCTCTCTGCCTTCATTTCCTGTGACACCGAACTCTGTCGACTTTACAAATTGACTACACAGAATAAAGGCCAGAGAGCATCAGTGACACAGATCAATTAACTTAGCATTCATGTTTTATGCTCTCCGTGAGACACGCTAACAGAGCCTGAGGAGAGAAGACACTGACACCTAATGAAAGCACAACTACGACTAGTTACACCAAACCTACTGCGTTATGGCTGGACATTTTGACTCTGACTTATTAGTTAATGCCACTATAGTAAATAGTAGTAGTAATTTAGTATTTTTACAATTTATTTTAAAATGTAATTTATTCCTGTGATAGCAAAGCTGAATGTTCAGCAGCCATTACTCCAGTTTTCAGTGTCACATGGTCCTTCAGAAATCATTCTAATATGCGGATTTGAAGAAATATTTAATATTATTACAATTGAAAAAAAAAGGATTGAAAATGACTAAAAAAAGTTCAAAAGATTGTTTACTATTACTTAAAGATTACCCACATCACAAAATAAACTCATAAAAATAAATAATAATAATAATAATTATTATTCATGATAATAACAATAATTAAACTATATAATAGTAACATGAAATGTAATAAAAAATTAAGAAAAAAAAAAAAAGGAATTATTTTTGCCAGCTCTTTACCTTTAGCTGATGTCCGTAAGAACTGAAGCAGGAATAGGACGATGATTCGAGTACTGCAATGCCCCATTTGGTTCACTGCACTGAAAGGAAAGGTGCAAGATGTTACAAATGCACATTTAAACCAAGAAACACAACAAATCACCTGCTTAGTTTAAAAGTTCTACAGAACAGTGGGCCAGAATCAATTACCAATAAGAGAACATAACCGCAAAGATGATGACTTAATTAAATTTTTTGAGAGTGCAGCTGTGCTCTACCTCTCTCTCTCCTGCCACAAATATTTCCACAACCACAGTGTGTGTGTGTGTGTGTGTGTGTGAGTGTCAGACAGGGGGCCGTCTCCATGGCAACCGAGGAGAGAGAGATGCCCATTATGAAGCATTTTGGGGGTGTAGGACTTACCATTACGGTGTAATATTCAAGGGCACTATTCACAAGGACATCATGACTAATTATAGACTACGAGTCCTTGAAAACTGACTTTTAAATGGTGTAGCGTCATTTTATTCAATGCCTCTTTAATCCTGACAACTAAAAAAAAATCTCCAAGACGAGGAGAGTCTTACTTGTACAACTCCTCAGGTGACTCTCAGCACTGCCTTTCAGTATGCGCACAGCCAGACTCTGTCTTCCCATTGGATCCTAAAAAGAATATTGAAACCAAAGCAGCATGTTAAACTTTTTCCACAGCAGTGCCTTTCTCATGGTCATTTCTTCAGGAAGGAGTGAGTGACAGGATAAGAGGGGCGCCTGGAAGTCTCTGCACACTGATAGTCAGAGAGCTGGAACTGACTTACGGCTTGATTCCCTTTTACTGCTCCCCATATTAACAGAAGTTTTTTCGAAATGCATAGATCCCAAAAATACTCCTATTTTGCATTTTTCTGAATTAATGGAGTTTTTTTGATTCAAAATGATATCATTAGCATTTCAATTTGAGTAAATATATTCAGAACTGTCATTTTATTATTATAAAAATAATTAAATATAATTAAAATAATTAAATTACAAATAATTATGAATTATCTTCATTATTTTCTTCTTTTGTGCTACGTCCGAAATGATTGCACTGTATTTTATGAATAATAATTTTTTTTATTCTTACCTGTTTTAATTAATTTTAAATACATTTTTAAATTAAATTCCTTTTTATTGTTGTGTTTATTTTTTTTATTATTATTTTAATTCCTTTTATGTAAAGCACTTTGAATTACCAGTGTGTACGAAATGTGCTATATAAATAAACTTGCCTTGCGCTTTATAGACAGCAGCCAATTGTGCTTCAATGGATATGAAAGAACTTTAAATAGGGATGATTCTGAAATGTCCACTTTAAATAGTAACAGTTCTACTTTTTAAATTTTTCCAAAAGCTTAAAAAATTAAGACTCAACTGGATCCATTATGTAGACTACGAGTCCTTGAAAACTGACTTTTAAATGGTGTAGCGTCATTTTATTCAATGCCTCTTTAATAATCCATTGACTCAACTGGATTCTCAGATTTTGCAATCTGGATCATATTACATATAGTGTTTATATAAATGTATACACACAAGTTACAATTTTCTAGCCAGCAAACTAGTCTAGAATAGCAAAAAAACTTTTTCCCAGACCTGGAAGTCACAGTTTTAACACTAAATTAACTGATATTTCTAATATAGTTTTTAGTGACCATGAGAAACTTTTCAGGAAATATCTGAGAGAGCCTTTATTGAGAGCCTGTTACGATCTAAGAGTCTTACAGGCAACAAAACAATCAAATGACTGACATGCAATCAATTACACACAGAGTTTTTAACAGAAACGTTTATCCAGCAGATTATTTACACAAGGCTCTTGTACTCAAGAAGGTGGGTGACAATAACACTACAGATGATCTGCTTTAACGGATACAAGTCCCTACAATATAATCAGATATCCAAGCACGGGCAACACAAAACAACAACAAAAATATAAATTAACACGCAAAAACTGAAGCTGTCGTCATATCATAATAAAGTCTGCATTATAACTGTATGTATCTAATAATCGGCCTGTTTGCAGAAGCGGTGCTAACTGCTAACAACGACCATTATTTACTCACCGCATTTATTTCCAACAAATCAAAGTGACATTAAAGATCGCTTTTACCTTTAGCTGCGATGTAGATTCATGTTTGTGTTAATGTTCCGTGTTTTTACTGTTTTCTTCGAAGTCGTGCTTTAGGCGCTGACAGACTGTCTGCCGCCACCCAGAGAGACTGAAAAGACTGCGCCGTGACGACACCATAAACAAGAGACGCGCGAGAGCATTGTGGGATACCGTAGTCCGCCGACTGTGAGTGCCTGAATACATAAAATAGTCTAACTTTATTTTGTAACGACACATTTCTGCGTTTGAGCAGAACTTTTTTTCGCTCAACCTCATGAATCAAGGAATTTTGTTTGCCTACAAACAATTGTACAAGTTTAGTAGCCTATCACTGATAGAGTGCTTATTTTTTTTTGTTTATAAATAAGAAAGATCATTTTTATTTAAAATAATTTTGTCGAATTTACTGTGAGCTATAGTGGTGAATGCGATCTATTATATTAAAATATTAAGCAATTAATATTAGCAATTTTTTTTAGTGATGAGATGGTATTAAAGGACACATAAGATGGTATTAAAGGAATTTACCCAAAAATTAAAACTGGCTAAAAATTTACCAGCCCACAGGATTTCAAGACGTATATGAATTTGTATAATCGGATACAAATTATCCGATTATACAATCGATAATTTAATCGGTTAAATTAATCGGCACACTTAATCGGAACTGCGTTATTACATATTATGGACTTTAAACAATTGCTTCTAGACAAAATAAAGTTAAAATGCCTTAATGATGGATTGTGTTTTTGTTTTTTTTTTGTTTTTTTTTTACAAACACACAGTTTTTATGACAAGAGGTTAATTGATGGAATGGAAATTTGTGAATTACTTGTGGGTTATTCTGATGTTTTTATCAGTTGTTTGGGCATTCATTCTGGCGGCACCCATTCACTGCAGAGGATCCATTGGTGAGCAAATGACGTGATACTAAATTTCTCCAAATCTGTAATGAGGAAACAAACACATTTACATCTTGGATGGCCTGAGGGTGGATAAATTAAAAAGCAAATTTTCATTTTCTGGTGAACTATTCCTTTAAGGGAAATCTCAAAGATCCATATTATAGCAAAAGAAAGATGCTGATCGATACAAATCTGCTACAGCCAACCCTAAAACACACCCGACAGCATCAAATTTGAGAAATCTTATATAAAATCTGTTCTTACAACAACTCCAACTTTACAATTGTAGGTTATGCTCATCAGTTCTGTACTGTATCAAGTTACCTGAAAGTGTATGATCATTTATATTACTATTTGCAAACTATTAGAGAGACACACATAGCTGCTTAAAGAAAGCAAAATGTCCTTGCATGAGGAGCCAGTGGCCTGACAGTTTTTTGTTCTAAAATAGCTTGTTGATTAATGGCCATGTCTTTTGCTATATGGGGAAAAAAGGATAGGGAGTCAGGGGCACCGAAGGGCAGGGAGATAAGGCGTCTGACAGCCCTCAAGTGACTAGCCACAATTCCGTTCCACTCAATATCATAGATTTTTCATGTATAATCAATGCAGTGTAATTTTCTGGGGCATTTATGGCACTGAGGTCAATGTCGTGCGGAACACAATTGCACCTCTGGGGGAAATGTACTCTTGCTTTTTTCCTTTGCTTGCAACAACATGAAAAACAGAGGAATATATCTAGTTATTGCATATAGCATTCAGGCTAAGTTAGAGTCAGATTTACTGATAAAATATTGAACCAGTTGCCATTTTTAAGCCATTGACATCAATCTGTTTACCACTTTGAAAAAAGAACATTGTGTCTAAGAATTTGCATATGATTTTTTTTTATTTGATTGTTTCTTGCATTTATTAACAAGGATTTTTTATTGTTTTGGCCAAATGTAGACGTCATTGTATGTGTACCTTTATAGGTTTGTTTTTGGCTCTGAAATGCTGTCTCCTATCTCATAGTTGACTCGTGTCTCCTTTAATAAAGCATTCATTATAGGGAAGGTGACATGAGAATTAGGATGCAGAGTAGGTATCAAGTGACCTATATGCTTCCTCAATTGCATAGTGGCACAAAAGAATCTCCTGTTGCCCCTTCGTCCATATCTCCAATCAAACTTGGCTTGTTTCGGACCTTTGATTTAATCTTGAGGGGCTTTAGTGGCTGTCCACAAAAAGCTCTTGTATCTTACTTAATTATAACCTCAGAAATGATCTGACCTGTCCGGTGCCAGGTGCAGTGAAGTGTGCAAAAGCTTGCATGCCATGAGGTCCCATTGGATAAGGAAAAGAAACACTAGATGCCCATCGTGATCGGATAAGTGGAAAATAACCTAACAATGTTAGATCTGAAAAAAAGGCAAGGAAACTTCAGTAAAGACCTAATGGAAAGTTTTTCCCTCCCCTCTTGGTTTCCGAGACTTCTGGGTACCCTAAAAAGGGAGCAATATGAGCCCCGAGCCTTTTTTTCTGACTTTTTCTTTTTTTTAACTTTACTTCCCACACCACCCCTGTGGGTCTGAGCCCATTTGGAAGGTTACTGTTCAAAGTCAGCATGGATCATCCAGGAGGACACCTTGCTGTGGTTCTGCTCATACTTGTTCTGGTTTCTATGTCCACCGAAAACAACATTAGTAAGTACTATATTTATATGCTTTAGCTTTTTGGGCTTACTATGACATGTCTGATTATAAAATGAAATGTTCTTTTTTGTATTGGCTTTTTACACTTGATTCGTTTGAGATCTGAATGAACTAGGTGAACTTTATATAGCAATAATTTTAAGGAAAACATTTGAACAAACTTCACTGAATTTGTGTTTCTCATATTTTAATCTAAGTTTATGTTTAAATGCTTGGCAGTATTTTTGTAGGCAAATATAAATTGTGCCTACCTATGGATTTTCATTCAGTATTATTTTATTGTATTATTTTAATTCATTTATTAATTTAACTTTTCTTTTTAATCAGTTTATTTTGTTTCATTTAGAGATTATTTTAATTTAATTTAATTTAATTTAATTTAATTTAATTTAATTTAATTTAATTTTATTTTATTTTATTTAATTTAATTTAATTTAATTTAATTTAATTTAATTTAATTTTATTTTATTTAATTTTATTTAATTTAATTTAATTTAATTTAATTTTATTTTATTTAATTTTATTTAATTTAATTTAATTTAATTTAATTTTATTTTATTTTATTTTATTGAATGGAATGGAATGGAAAAGACGATCCAGCATACATTCAACTCATTCAATACTTTCGATTTGTACCAAAAGTTTTGGTCATCACTTTATCTCTTTTGGGTTTACTTTACTATTATTCTAAAATGTGAAAAAATAAATAGAAATCCATGAAATGTGAGTAAACTTTTTGACTGGTATCCTGGTGCAGTTAAGAAATACTTATCCTGAAATGTATTTGATGATTGTCACTCTTTGGAAAAGTATATACATTTTGAATTAAAATGGAATTTTCTTTGCAGTCAGGTGGTGCACAGTATCTGATGCCGAAGAGCAAAAGTGTTTGGATCTAGCTGGGAACGCCACAGCCAAGAGCATCCGTGGACAACTTCTGTGTGTGAGGGGCCAAAGTCCCACTGACTGCATGAAGCAAATAAAGGTTGTAGACAATTGCTTCCCAAGACGCAAATAAAATCAGATATGGTGCATGAAAATTACAGTGATATTACAAGGCTCATAGATTTCAGATTGAGCCATACAATTGTCCTAATTTTTGCTCCTCCTTTGCTTTTCTTACACTCACTCAACTTCTCAACTGATTATTCAATCTTACAAAAGGCTTGATATGTTTAGCTTTTCCATTATATCAAAAATGATGGAAATTTCTCAGTATATGGTTTAGTATAATTTGTCTGTGATGTAAACAGACTGGCACTGCAGATGCCTCTACTATGTATGCTGATGAGATCTATACAGCTGGGTTTTGCTATGGCTTAGATGTGGCTGTGGGAGAGTCTTATAACGGTGTGGGTGAGTATGTTTAAACTATTAAAACAATTGAAACACCAGAGATCAGAGATCTGATAATCTGACGTCAATGTGTGTCCACGTGTCTTTACCGATGTTTTGTGTCTGACACAGATGGCATTAATTATTACGTGGTTGCACTGGCACGGACATCATCCAGCGATCTGTCACTGCTGGAGATGCACGAACGCAGTTCTTGTCACCCAGGGATGCGGACTACAGTGGGCTGGACCGTCCCCATCGGTTTCTTGGTCAACACATCGCAGATCAGCGTGGATGAGCAGTGCAATTTTCCCCATGGTGAGATCACTGCATTATGTGGCTCATGTCTAATAGTTACTGATATTATTTGATAGATTACAAAGCCTTTGACATCTGGTTTAACTCAGTAATGCTTTCATTTTTTTTATGTAAGTGGTTCAGATGCAAATTGAGAATGTAATTGCACCTTTTGGCGGCCCTTTAAAAAGCTATATCCGTCTCCCTATTGTTTCCAGCGGTAGGAGATTTCTTTGGCTACAGCTGTGTCCCAGGAGTGAAGGACCCAGAACATGATCCCAAAGGAAACAACCCAAGGAACCTGTGTGAGGCCTGCATTGGGGACGAGAACGACCACCACATCTGCGCCAACAACCCTCGGGAACGGCACTTCGGGGAGGCTGGAGCTCTTAGGTGCTGTATGATCAGAGATGTGAGAGAATGCATATGTTTTAGTGGAATCATTTTTCAAAATATGAATGTGCTTTGTGTAGCGAGAATATTGGATTGCTTAATGGATTAGGGACAAAAAAAATCTATGTATATATGTACAATAATACATTACCATTTAAAAGTTTGGGGTGAGTATGATTTATTGAAAAGTTTTTGAAAGAACATTTACCAAGACTCCATTAATTTAATCAAAAACAGTAGTATTGTGAAATATTATTACAGTTTAAAATAACTGTTTTCTGTGTCAATATATTTTACATTTTCCTTTTTTTCTGTAAGGGCAAAGCTCCTTTTCAGCAGCCATTACCCTAGTCTTCTGTGTTACAAGATCCTTCAGAAATCATCCTAATATGTTGATTTAGGGTTTAAGAAACTTATTATTATTAGTTGAAAATGGTTGGGCTGCTTAATTAAGAGTGGAAAGTGTAGAATTTTTGTTTTTCAGTATTTTTTTTATGAACAGAAAGTTTGAAAAGGAAAACATTCTAAATGTCTTTACTGTCACTTTTGATTCATTTAATGCATCCTTATGCAATAAAAGTATACATTTATAAAAAAAAACCCTACTAATCCCAAACTTTTCAATGGTAGTGTATATATTTTATGTGTATTATTATATATTATTATTTAAAACATACAGGTGTGTGGCAGAGAATCTCGGGGATGTTGCTTTTGTTAAGCACACTACAGTCTTCGACAACATGCAGGGTAAGTAGTGCAAGGTGTAAGAAGAGCTAGTTAAACAGGAGAGCAAAAAATGTCCAAATGCAGTAAGAATTTCAAGTTGGTTTCTTATTAAATGGAATTTTTTTTAAGGGACTGAAGGAGGACAACTGTAGCCTTCACTTCATGATCTGTATCATGTTTCACTGGCTGACAGACACAGGGGGGCAGCATTTCACAACAATGCATCTCTTTGTGTGCCTGCTGGGATCTGTGAAACCCTTGTTTAGTCTCAGTACAACCAGTTAGCCAAGTTCAGGGATCACATATGCTTGTTTAATAGAGATATTTTTTGTTTTATAAAAGCCTGCATGACTTGCAAGCTTTAATTTTATGTTTAAAAGTTTCATCAGACAAATGTTGCATCATGCCTTCTGTTTTAGAAGTTGTCGCTGTCTGTAAAAAACCTTTGTCTGGCTTATTATTCATGTAAGGCAAGAACCAGGAGTCTTGGGCGCTGGACCTGGAGCTGGAAGACTTGAAACTCTTGTGTACTGACGGGAGAGAAGCTAACCTGTTCCAACACGAGAGCTGCCACCTGGCTGTAGTGCCAACCAATGCTGTGGTAGTGCGTTTGGAGGACAAATGCCGCATTTACAAGTTCTTGGAACGTGTGCAGGTCAGGAGAAACGGCCACACAGTCACACATTGGAGCCCAAAATCTGAGAACAGTCAGAAAATCCAGGATTTTTTGCACTTAAACCTAGGGAAAAAAAGTAAATGAAAGGTATTATGTGAAACAGGGGTGCAACAATACATTGTGTCACAATATATCATGATACAAAGATGCAACAATATGTATTGTGGATAGTGATAATATGTATTGTGTATATTTCTCCCAAAATGAAAGTTTAGATATAATTTAGGCTTTTATTAAAGAAAAAACAATGGTAAATGCGCATACAAAGAACACATCAAATAAGACAAACCAGAGAAAGCTCACAAATTTGAGCGTTCATGTTTATTCATTATTATTCATAAATGAACGTTATTTAATGAAATACAATATTTAAAACCTTTAAAATATATGGTCAGGAACAGAGTGCAAACATATATAACAATTCTGTATTTTCAGCTAAGCAGAATTATAAGTATTTCTATTCTGGTTAATGAACAGTGCTTTTTGCTAACTCTTCATGTCTTAGAAGTAATAAAAAAACAAACAAAAAAAAAACGTACCATTCTGGCTTTGTTTTGTGAGATAATGAGAGCACTGCATAATAATATTTTATTGTGAGATTGGTATTGTGTATCGAACATAGTCGTGACATGAGTGTATTGTTACACCCCTAATGTGAAATTAAGAAGTATGTATAACTCTGCACTATTTTTAGGCACAATTATTATTTTTTTTAATAAAACATTTGACTCAAATTTAATGCTTATTATTTTAATGAAGAAAAAATTGTATTAAATCAGAAAAATGTCAGATAGAAGCATTATAACTAGTAGTCTCAGGCTTTTGGACCACATTGTACTTCGCACACACACACACACACACACACACACACACACACACACACAGGTTTACATTTGTGAAAAGTGGGGACATCCCATAGGCGTAATGGTTTTTATACTGTACAGACCGTATATTCTATTGCCCTTTACCAACCCTACCCCTAAACCTACCTTACAGGAGACTTTGTGCTATTTCAGATTTTCAATACACTCCATTCTGTGTGATTTATAAGCGTTTTGAAAAGTGGGGACATGGGGTAATGTCCTGAAAAGTCACCTTCTCCTTGTAATACCTATGTCATACCTTTGTCATTATACAAATTTATGTCCTCATTTGTCACAAAAACGCGTACACACACACACACACACACACACACAAATGCCACAGATTATATATTGACATCATACTGCCAGACGGTTACATTGTCTGTGGATATCAGGTTTGATTCACATTTTTATTACATTATCTGTGAAATAATATAAAAACAGTAAAAAGAAAAAACTGAAATCCCGTTTGTTCAATACTGAGCATGAAATTCTCATTGGAAGTGTTGTTCCTGCACATTAGCGGTCAACGGTATGATTAAACGAACCCTGCCAAAACCTATATTAACAGTAGTATCTCTGAACGTCTCGAGTATTATACAGATTACATCAGGCTGACTTATGCGTTCAATACATCCAGCCTGAGCCCTGTGGTGATCATTGATTTCCACAAGACACCGTCTCACATTACAGTGTGTCATTAGGGGAGGATGACACTACAGTGAGCTCTGTTATGAAAGCAGGACTAGCACACATACACTACTGAGCAAAGCACGGTGCAAGATATGAGCAAAGATTGTCGAGAAGATCCAATATTTGCAAATGAAACAAAATATGCATATACATATTTCAAACTAACACCCACCCTCAGCCCTTTTCCTTGTTTGAGTATTCCAGAAATTCTGTTTGATTGCATTTTCTCTTTTTCTTATTTTGTTTTACTTGTTTCTGTCTTCTAGAATGCATTTGCTAATGCCACTGAAGGATTCTCTCTGTTCAGCTCGGTGAATTATGGGCAACCTGATGTGCTGTTCAGCGATTCCACCAAAAAGCTACTGCGTGTTATGGGAACCTACACTTCCTGGTTGGGGCCCAGTTACACCACCATACTGAAGGCTTTTGAGTGTGAAGGTACAGTGGAGCAGAGCTGTTATGCAGTTATTGTATTATGCAAACATCAATATTGTAAATGTTTATTTAGGGGCTTATATTGTTCATATCAGAATTTTTATCATTTAATTTTTTTTGTTAAGTGTCTGCTTATAACATTAGTGAATGTGCATCATTAAGGCCATTAAGGGCACAATCCCAAATAATGTACTGTACAATAACCATTTTATTTTGTTACTGCTCCTTTAAGATGAATGTAAATGTCTTACAAAGGTTTAAATTATCTTTTTTGAGGTTTTGAGTTCTGAAAGCATATTTACAAGGCATCTTATGCACCAGTGCACTGTGATTTTTTCTTATATTATTTTCTATGGATTTATACAAATTAATAACTAAAACTTTCAATTATTCTGCCTGTTTTAAATTATTTTCTTTATTGAAAACAGTATACAAGGAAAGAAACATTACAGATACAGAAACCCTACCACTCAAATTCATTTATTTTTGAAAGAAACAAGTACTTTTATTCAGAAAGGATGTGTTAAATTGATTGAAAGTGACAGTAAAAACTTTTAAATTGTTACAAAACATTTCTAAATGAAATATATGCAGTTTTTTTTTTTAGCTTTCTATTCATCAAAGAATCCTGGAAAATATATCTCGGTTTCCACAAACATATTAAGCCACACAACTGTTTTAAACATTGATAATTGTTGAAATCAACATTGAGTTCCAAATCAGCATATTAGAATAATTTCTAAAGGATCATGTGACACTGAAGACTGAAATAATGACTTCTGAAAATTCAGCTTTGCATCACAGGAATAAATTACATTTTAAAATATACTGAATTGGAAAACAGTTACTTTAAATTATAATAATATTTCACAATATTACTGTATTTACTGTATTTTTGATCAAATAAATGTAGTCTTGATGAGCATAAGAGACTTCTTTTGAAAAAAATCCAACGACCCCAAACTTTTGAACGGTAGTGTGTCATGTGCAGTTCTTTAAAATGGTGAACAAAGACACAGTGCTTGCATGTTACTTTAGTTTATTCTTTTAAAATGTTGTTCATTATGTGATTAAGTTGTCCATATTGCAGAGAATGTGATAAAACCCTCTGCATTGCACGCATGAATTCACTTCTTTCCTCTCTCTCTTACACTACAGGTCTGTGTTGATCTGATGAGGAAAGAGGAAACTATAGATCTCCCCTCCATCCTTCTCACACTAACTCTAAAGCACCCTGTGTAAAGTGTGTTATTCTTGTATATGGGCTGAACGCCAGCTCTCGCCTGTGCTTTGTAGTACTGCTTTTACTGTTCTGTTCTCACAGTGTTTGTATGGCTTCATATATCACATTTACTTGATATTACACCTCTTTGAGTCTTTGCCGCTAAAGCTAAATTCTTGCCATGTGAAAAATACAAAAATAAACACAAAAAGATCTAAACTTCTATGCAGAAAAGGACTGCAGGGGAACACACCACAAATCATGAAGGAATTCTGCCTTAGTAAATCCAAGTACATTCATGACAAACCAACCGAGGGATGCAAAGGTTTTTGAGTACAGAATACACATTCTGCATTCAGGGCCAAAGCATACTTTATACAAGTACATGAACGCAAATGGTTTTAGGTAAACAGCTTAAAAAAATGTTTTGCGTGCTGTAGCAACACATATTTTGTCTTCTACAGCAACTTTTTTTTCTCTCAGATCAACTAATGTTACATACCTGAATAATATTACATTTGTTTTAATGGCACAGACATCGAAAGTTAACAATCGTCCCTTTGGATACTGAGAATTATTACAGCCACAATGCAAGAAAACACATTTAGACACACTACAAAAAATACATTTCTTAGTATTTTTGTCCTTTTTCCATAAAAATATCCAAAGATTCCCAAATCAAGGTACATTTACTTGAGAAGGAAAATTACTTAAGGTATTAAGTCTTGTTTTCTGGAACAATTATCAAAATTAGGTTTGTTTAATCTTAAAACAAGAAAAATATCAGCCAATCAGCCAAAAAAATATCATTGATTTAGGAAAGTTTAAATATTTGTGCTGAAAAACAAGACAAAAATAATAAGAATTATTTTTATTTTTTTTGCAGTGTTTGCGTACTTGCACATAGTATGTTTCTGACTTAAGTTTGATCAAAGCTTTTAACTTGAAAATGTCATATTCTTTGTGTATCTGAACTAGTGGTGTGCAGATATCAAGGAATTAAAAATGAGAAGATACAAATAAGTTCAAAATATATAAAGATAAACAAAGCAACACACAATAGGACATAAAATGTTTAAAGGCGGACAGACTTATGGTTGGTTGTTACGTAGCAGGTGCTTTAAAGGTGCTGTTTCCTGACCCTTCAGGATAACAAATTACCAACTTGAACTTCAGTGTAAATAGTCTTGTCACTCGTAGATTTACAGAACCTTCTCTTATTAATAAAAATCTATGTTGACAAACACTTGCAATCCTCATTTTTACATTTAAGCCAACATCAACACCAGTGACTCAAATGAACTTATCCAATAGTCTACATAAATGCTGAGGTGTATACACTAGTGTGTGAATGCTAATGTATTATTAATGACAATATCGTCTCGCGTGAATTCATAATGAGCTGTCTATGACATTGCTGATGAACATTAGTAATTGAGATTGCAGGTTAATTGAGGATTTTGTGCCAATGTCCTTGAAAATGTTTGTCTGAATTTTGTACGCTCACATATCTAATTATTGACTATCTCTGTGTTTTCAGTGAATGTCTCATAATTATATTTATCTTGAATACAAGTTTAATTATCTTGGCTCTCTCAGGCTCTGCGGCAGTACATTCTGCTGCTTAAGAAGCCTCAGATTAAGCCATCAGTACATCAGTAAAAATGTCCAGGTGGACATTTTCAGTGAACTGTTTCAATTGCCACACTGCATGTCAAACAAAGAAAACATTTATCGGCCAATGAAACTGTAGAGACAGGAAAAGTATTTTTATGTTTCAAGAAGAAAGTTTTAATGGTACCAGATGGTCCTACAGCTCGCACATTGAGTGTGTCTGTTTATGAACACAGGCTTCATTAATCTGAGATGTAGACGACACTCACCAGCAGCAGTGCAAGATGAGCCAGTCATCACCACCGCTGTGACTGCAGCGTATGTCATTAACACAGACACAAGTTAATGAAGTCTGAAGCCTTTTAATCCATTTGTATGCGGCTTTCTGCGAGTACACATCCCCTATAAATCACGGCAGACATTTAATACTTATGTCAAAACTTGCATTGCTTATTGTCAATGACGCAGGGAGGCCTAAAGGGGCGTTTACATGGACAATGATTCTGTTGCAGTTGTGAAGTCTTTTGTCTTCGAAGAAAGTTGCTGTAGATTTTGCATTTATGCATTTAGTAGATACTTTTATCCAAAGCGACTTACAGTAGAAGAGCATTAGCAATACATCACAGAGCTAATATTCACAGTATACAATTCCACATTTATTACAATGTTAGAAAACAAGCTAGAACAGAGGAGAAATGCAAAAGTTTTTGTTTTTGTTTTGGCAAGTGCATTGGGATGTGGAGTGGTTCTGGCAGAAAAGTTGTCTTCAGCTGCTGGTTTCAGCAGTTTGGGAAGAGGTTGGCAGCTCATTCCAACAGAGAAGGTAAAGGTTTTGGAAAGCGACTTCATGCCTTGTTGTGAAGGGAGAACAAGGGACATCTTGTTTAGTGACCATATCTGGCAGAATTGAGCATGCTTTACTTTATGCAACTGAGCAGCGATGTAACATGCCAACTACCAATGGGAGCGCAAACAGCAATCCACTCCCTGATACAGTCAAGTAATGTCTACAGCCAACAGCAGTTATATTTAATCAATTTAATTGCTGTCAGTGTGAACAGGGCTTAAACTGCCAGAGCAAAGGTATAACTATGATGATTAAATGGATTATATGAATGCATATGCATATGGATTTTCCTTGCTCTTTTGTAATAAAAGAGTACTTCTATGCACTTTAGTGTATTATATTCATAGAAAGTGCATCATATTTACATAAGAACTATCAGAGCATATGAATTTAACATTTGAATGTCAAATTTTTCATGAACTTGGCAGAGGCTTTGTTACTCATTTTACATGCGAAAAGGTTAGCCAATCATAATGGAGGTCATTTACAAGCAGTATATCTTTGTTAATAATTTTGTTAATCTCTAATACATAAACACAATATACACTTCAGTGATTCTCTAGTCTATTGCATAGCAGACTCGGTCTAGAGAATAATCTGCCACCTGCTCAGGTAAAGGATTAGGATGGAGGCAGCTTCACTCATTCCTTCAGGATAATCTTTCCCTGCATGAGCAAGGCGGGGTCTCAGGTAAACCTCACATCTCTGCTCCTCACAATTCCTTCGATCACGTTTCATAGGCTTATCCCGGTAGGTGGGGGCACTCCTGAGAGAGAAGGGGTCTGACGTGGTCAAATGGACACAATCTGGATACAGAGAGTGGTTATGATCAGTCAGGACACGCTCAATGGCAGCGTTCACTCTCACACTCAAACTGAGAGGCCATGGGCCAGAACTAAAATAGCTAAACCTCTAGAGACCTATAACAGTAGACTTTCACTGTTTGATTCATTTCTTTTGTCAGACGTTCCTACACTCCAAAACAGAAAGATGAATGTGTCCCAAGAGCTTGGAAGCATTTTGAGCCTTTCAACGGCACATAGGCCTACTCGTATGCAGTAATGAGAAGAATTTTTGTATTATTTAAATCATGTAGATTTTCAGTAACATATCTATTTTAGTTTAAATATAGCGTTAGAAACAAAGACGTGTGTACTGTACAGTTGGTCGTCTGTTTACAATCAGAACAAGTCCGATTCGGAAAACTGACTCATTTGAATCGGTTCTTTTCAGTGAATCGGTTGAACCAGTCAAAAATTTCTAAATGGAATTCATATTGGATCTTTTCCAGTGGAAATGACTCACTCTCAGTTTAGCTTTAGCTGCCTACAATAACCGTATATCCAGAAAGTCTAATTGCAACTAATTCATTGTTATTTAATACTAAATTAAATTACTCTCTGGAAAACTCTCGTATCAAACTGCGGACTTGCGCTCCCTTGTTTTAGACAAACGCAAATGACGTAGGCTAATCTCGCGTCCCAGTTATAGACTGTATAAATGACACAGTATTTCAGTATTGTTACTGTGTTGTTGAGGTGCTTACGTGGAATGTTTTATACGTTGTAAGTGATTATTTTTCTTAGTGGAATCTTTACAATGATTCACATCAGTGTTTTACGCCCATATTCTGTGAGTGAAGGTAACGGTTTTTATCTAAAAAAGGACTGAAAACCGTAGGCCCTGTTCTTCTGCTGTGTGAACGTATGTTGACAACATAACTGTCACCATATACAGACATTGTATGTATGTCGAAATTATAAATGCGTGTTATAATTGGGAAAGAGGGATAGAGAATTGTGTCATGATGATGGTAACTTTGATTACAGTCTCAAAAAGGGACACTGGATTCAGCGTGGTGACTGACAGCAGAGGTGAAGGAAGCCTGCAGTGAATTACAGAGAAGGAAAATGAACACCCACACATGATGGATCCTCAGGACATCAGACAGCTACTATTATGTCTGGAGGATGAAATATTAAAGAAGAGCAGAAAAAGAGATGTATAGTGATCAAGGTATTTTTGTACTCTTCAAATAAAGCACACACACTTCTTTTCTTCTTGATGTGCTCAATTTTTACTGGAGGTTTCTACAGGCACACAAATCCTTGCACTGTCCCTCAGGCATCATTTCCAATTAGTGAAGAGCTGTCGCAGTCTGCAGCGGGTGTGCCCAGGAGGGCCACCAGATGACTGTGTTCTGTGAGCACATGGCTTGTGTTGTGTTTGTCTGTCGCCATGTGCTCTCTCCTGTCTATAGTCTTGCCCCTCCCATCTTGTTACCTCGTTATAGTTTAAGTTGATCCACCTGTGTCTCCCTCGTTAGCCTCCTCGTTTGGTTCCCATTTATTCTCCTTGTGTCTGTCATCCTGTGCTGATCCGTCATTTCTCATTGTGTGTGTTTCGTGTCTGCATGTGTGCAGCTTTAGACCTGCCTGTCTGTTTTTCCCCTTCGGGGTGGTTTGAGTTTATTTTTGTTTCATTTTTATTATCAAAATAAATAACCATTTCTCCTGCAATTGAGT